CCCCCCGACACTGAGGCTGCCCTGGTGGCTGCTGGTCACCACCCAACCCCTGGCCCTCTGGGGTGGTGGGGAGCTGAGGATGGACTCACAGAAAGCCTGGTTCTGTGCGTTTGTCCAGAAGATGGTGTAGTGGGTAAAGGGGCTCCTTCCCAGCTCGGGGGGCTTGGGCACCCACTCCAGCTGTGCCCAGGTCTTGCCAATGTGTCTCAGATGCAGCTCTGGAGCGCGCAAAGGGGCTGTGGGAAGAGAGGTGCAGAGGTTGTGGAAGTGGGGCAGGTGAAAGCCCCGCTGGACTCTGAGGGTGCACGGTGAGCTGGGGGAGGGGAGAGGGTGCGAGGGGGCCCAAGGTCAAGCCTCATCTTCCTGGGGAGTTTGTCTGAATTCATCTGCTAATAGATGGCTGAGCCAGGATTTGTACCCAGTTCTGTTTGACTCAAAAGCCTCACTTCAGGGGCCAGCATGTGATGTGGTAGTTGAGGCACTGGACTCCACATGGCCGACCAGGGTTCAAGTCTTGGACCCGCTCGTTTGCTTTATGGCTTTCCCCTCTCTCTGGTGAGTGCATGTGCCCTATAGCAAAACTTAAAAAAACTTACAATAAATAAAATTAAACAAAAATAAAAAGCCTCACTCCCGGATTTCTGCCAGGCCTGCGTTTATCTGGCTTACTCCCTGATCTCCGTCACCCATTCTCTGTCCAGTCTCTGTCTGATGTGACTTGATTTCTGCCAGGGCAGCTGATTTATTTTTTGCTGGACTTGACCCCCTAGTTCTGCCAAACTCATTGCCTAGTTTCTATCAGCCCGCTCCCTGATTTCTGTCCAGCTGCAGGGTCCAGTGTAAGCCAGGAGCCCTTAAGGACTGAGACCCCCCGCCCCCAGGGTCGGAAGGAGGGGAGGAAGCCACTATTCTCTTGTATTCCCGATTGCTGGGGCCTGGACAGGGCTTGGGGGAGAGGAGAGAGGGTTCCGGAAAGGGGCTGGTTGGCTGACAGACCTGTCTCTTGGGAGTAGGTGTAGACGTGCTGGGAGGGGCCCACCGCGGCCTGATACAGGGGCGTCACTGTGATCTCGTAGAGCTGAAAGGGCCTGATGTTCTCTGCAGAGGGAAAATGGGGTAGCCCCTCCGGTTTGGAGGAGTCTCTGCTAAGAGCACAGGCTAGCCTCAGACCTCTAGGTAGGGCTATGTCATGAAGCAGGCCCAACTTCCCCGCTCCCCTCAGTTATTGCGGGGGTGCTGGCGGGGGGAGCAAGGAAGGAGAGTAGAAGGGTTGGGGTTAGGCTGCAGAAAGAGGGTCAAGTCAGACTGCAGGGAGAACTTCCTGAGGATGAGTGGAGGCTCAAGAAAAGCTGGGGGATCTGCATATTAGGGCTGGCGCTGCCCCTGCCCTCTGTCAGATAAGCACCGCCTCCCCCTCCCTGGCACCCCTGCCCGACCTCCCAGGCCTGCCTCACCCCGCAGCAGCACTCCTGTGATGCTCCCATTCCGCTCCATCCTCCATGTCCTGTTGGTGCTGCTGGGGCGGGGGGGACCCAGGCCCCACTCAATCACATAGGCCTGAGGCAGAGGGCTGGGGGGCTCCCAGCCCACCCAGAGGCTGTGAGCATCTGGGGCCGTGGCATGGAGTCCGACGACAGCTGGGCCTGGAGACAGAGTGGGCAGAGGTGGAATGAAGGTGAAAAAGATGTAGAACCCGCAGCCTGAGCCTGGGTTCAAATCCTGTCTTTGCTATTACAGGCTGGGTGACCTTAGCTAGGCCAACGTCTGAGCCTGTTTCCTCATCTGTAAAGTGGAAAAGGGATAAAAGTTCGGTCTTGGTACAGATTAGGGGGCTGCCCAGAACCCGCAGAGCAGTGCTTCATGGTAACAGCTAGTGCTACCAGCTCTGTGTGTGCAGGCACAGCCCTTGGTCCATGGGACGTCACCGGGTCCTCAGTCCCACCAGGGAGGAACTACTGTCATCTCTATTTAATCAGTGAGAAAACCGAGAGCCACAGAGAGGCTAAGTAACTTATGTAAGCTCGCATAGCTGGTAAGTGGGGTGCTAGCTATTACTGTTACTGTGATTACTAGTCTGACCTCTGAGGACCGTGGTTAGTGGTGGACGGGAGCGCTGGGGGCTAGTCCCTGGGAATAAGAAAGTCTCTGATGGCCGTGTTCCAGCTGGAAAAGCGTAGGACTTTCTTTCTCACCTTGGTTGGCAGAGTGGTCTCCTTGTGTGTGTGTGCGTGTGTGTGTGCGTGCATGCGTGTGTGTGTGTGTGTGTGTGTACATGCATGTGTGTGTGTCTAGCCTGGTCCTGGCAGCAGGAACAGCTAACACACTGAGCAGTTACTTTGTGCCAGGCACGTGTCTTAACTCACGCCGTCCTCCCAGCTGCCCTCAGCAGGCCGTCATCATGCCCATCTACTGGCTGATAAACAGAGGCCAGGAAGGGGAAGTAACTGGTGATAGGACAGGACCTGCCCCCAGCAGGTTAGCCCCTGGGTGCCATGCTCAGCTTCTGTGCCCTTCGGGCTGCTAGCACCTTTACCTGTACTCTCCCAGAAGACCACGGGGGTGGGACTAGAGGTCCCTGCTGTGTTATAGGCCACAAGGGCCACCTCCCGGACTCCCCGAGGCAGGTGGAAGCTGCAGCTTAGCTCCGTGGTGTTGCAGAGGGGCGGGTCTGGCCCAGGCTGGCCTGAGGGGCTTCTGGAGACCAGGTACCCTTGGCTCTGCCCACCGGCTTCCTTCAGGGGCACTGGCTGTGGCAGGCATAGGAGGAGAAAGGGAGGGGGATGTATAACTCATCTCAGTTGGGGGAGGGCCTCTAGTGGGGTGGATGGATCAGAGGGATTGACCCCTCCAAAACTGGACCCCAGGCCTCTCCCCCCTCCCCCCCCCCCACCACCTCACC